AGGTCTCTGCACCCCCAATTCAAAATTATCAAATGCAAAAAGGTTGAAACCCACTGGTTTATGGTGTAGGCCTAAGTAGTAGTTCCTGCTAAAACAACTAATTTTTATTTACTTGTGATTATTCCCCACTTAACGGATTTCTGCTTTACCTGCCCCAACTGATTGAGATAAAACATAATTGGGCCTCTAGATTGCCCTGGCCTCTCATTATTGCTCTGATTCAGAACGCCCCTCCATCCGGCTCCTTACAAATGCAGATTAATAATGACGGGCACCTACCAGATATTCCTGGCTTCTCTTTTCTCCACTCACTTTAAATCCTAGGAGCTTTTCTCTGTCTTCCCTCAGCATCTTCAAATGGGCCCGAACCTTTTCCTGAAGAAACACAAACTGATTTGAGTGGTGTTATTGTTATTGTTAGGAGTGAGAGTGTGAGTGGGAGCTTTTCCAACCCAAACAAACACTCTACTGATGAATGGAGAACCCAGTAGATTTACGGAATCAGCGATACCAAGGAAGTGAAGTCATATTAATGGACGCTGGGAGTGTTTTATTTTCAGACTCCTTGAAATTGTTTGACCTTTTTTCCCCATTGATTTATACCAACATGACACTGGAGTCACATCCTTGGAGTTTTCTTTCACTGTGTGAAATATTCTGTTTTTGAGGAGGCTAAACAAACAAAGTGATACAAATCCCAGAAACCTCTAGGGCTTGAAATATGGCCCAGGATTCTCAAAAGAGCCCAATTTCCACTGAATTTCAACCCTGAACCCCTGGGGACTGGACTAGTTGGATAGAATTGGCCTGGGTACTAGGGCAAACCACATTAGATGTGTTCATTTTTGTCAAGAACAGTTGGGGTTTGTCCTAGTTCTGTCCTGGACCCTTACAGAGGCAGGGCTCCCTGGGTACTTCTTCCCCAGCTCAGCTCCCAGAAGCAGTGAGTTCCAGAGATTTCAAAATGCCACGGTGTGGGCGAGCAGCGTAAGGATTAATGGAACCACTTCATCTGGTTCTTCAGCCTGACACTGGTCACCACCACCCAGGGGTTAGTTTTGCTACAAGCCAGTCTAATCTCCATCTTAAGTGCCAACTTCTAATGGCGCCGGTGGGTGCTTGACCCCCCTCTGCCCCCAGCCCCGCCCTGACTCCACCCCTGCCCCGCCCCCTCCCACCACCATTCAAACCTCTTCCCCAAAGTCCCTGCCCCAATTCCACCCCCTCTCTGCCCCTATCCAATTCCTTCCCCAAATCCCCGTCCCTGCCCCGCCTCTTCCCCGCCTCCTCCCCTGAGTGCGCAACATTCCTGCTCCTCCCCTCATCCCTCCTGGAGCTTGCTACAGCTGTTTGGTGGTGGCCAGGCGGGAAGTGCTGGGAGGTAGGTGGAGGAGCAGGGATGCGGCACGCTCAGGGGAGGAGGAGGAGGCAGGGGTCGGGGCGGGGATCTTGGTGGCCAGTGGGTGCAGAGCACCCCCTAATTTTTCCCCATGGGTGCTGCAGCCCCGGAGCACCCATGGAGTCAGTACCTATGATCCCCATGGTATTTGGCATGGACCTGCACTGTCTGGAGCCCTTTTGTGTGAGGACTGAAGGTGCTTGGAGTCCACACAGTGTTTAGGACAGTGATCTCTAGTGCAGGCCGGCAGCATTTGAGTTTAACCCCTCGTGGAGCAGCACTGGAGTTCATAATCCCGGTGGAAAACATCATCTCCCTGCAGGGCCTGCCACCTTTATCAAGGCATCTTTCCCTCCTAATGGCCTTTCTTAATTATTGCTCAGTCAGGAGATGGCTATATCTGATTACTCCCAGTTTTGGGTGATGCAAGTTTGTCAGAAAATGTTCCCACTCTCCAGAGTGACAGGTTCTCTGAAATACTCCCGAGAGGTAGAACAAGTAGGGTCATGCTGGAATTTTTCCACAGACCCGCCTCTGTGGAGAGTTGGACTCAGCCCTACGGAACAGGAGCTACCACTCCCGTTCCCACAGGGCTGCCCCTCCGCACCAAGCCCACAACCCACCTACAACTTCCCACGACTCACTGGTGGGTCACAAGCCACCATTTGGGAAATAGCACCCAAGGGGGGGGGGTCTCAACTCCCTAACCCAGATTCTGAAGTTTCTCTCAAGTCCACAGGAGGGAGGGGAGATTGGCCATGGACTCCCCCTCGTGCCTGCTACCACTCCATCACCTAAAACATTCTCCATAGAAAAGTGCAGGCACCTAAGTCTGCACCATGGAAAATGGAAAGCTTTGAAATATGGATGACCTATCGCGATTGCCAGTGTATGCAAACACCACCCTCTTTAACTGTCCCCTGCTCCCAGCCCCGGTTCTTTCTTTATTCACCTGCTGCATATCATCTTCATTAGACTGGGACTGTGAGCACTTTGCCTGACTTGTCTGTACAGTGCCTGGCACAACGGAGCCGTAATCTCTCACTGCAGCTTGGAGATGCCACTGCAGTAGAAATCAGAACATTCTATTGGATATGAATTCTTATTATTGATGTCAACATGGAAAACTTTATGGGCACAAGGTTCCCACACTGAAATCTATGGTGAAAATTTCCGAAGTGGAAACTGCAGGATGCGGACTGTCTCCCTGTGTCCTCAGAAGACGTGGAAGAGGCACAATGCTGGTCGGGGGGGGGTGGG